TTATGGTGTTACTAGTGCACTATAGGGGTTTCTTTCAAAAATCGGTGCCGAGGATCCTGCGACTGTTGCTTCATACCTTGCTTCATGCTCTGCTCAAAAGTTCCCAATAAGAAGTCCTCTGAAGATGCTCCTTGTGCTTTGAAAGCTGAAGGTTCAGGGTTTAGGGGTTAGGGGGCCTACTTGGAGGATCATGGGACTTAGTACGTAAGTTATAAGTACCGCAATTGGGCTTATAAGTACCTGTAGCCTTATACCCTACCCCTTTTATTGGTTACCCTATTATAATTGGTTTAACCAAACATTTCCTGCATGTCCAGATATACTTGGGCATGACGATGCAGATGCTGTTGTGAGTGTCGCGACATCCTCTTATGGATCGAAGTGAAATGTTAGTTTTCTGCGGTGGGCCTTCGAATGTGGCTGGGGGCTCAAAGTGCCTGTTGCTCTGCAGACCGGGCAGGCTGCATTGAATGAGAGCTGAAAGTTGCCCTGATTCTTGGAAGGCTCAAGCTTCTCAGCTGTTTGTTGCAATGGCTGATGTTTAACCCAACGTTTCCTGATGGCTGGAATCCAGCGCTGGTGCCACTTATGGTGACTGCTTTTAAGGAGATGCTGTCTGCTTGTCCCTGACAACCTTGTACATGCCAGAGCTAATTTTCTGCAAGTGCAGGAGATCCTCGCTATGACAACCCTGAAAGCACTCATCAAGGAAACCAAGAAGGTTCTTCTGATGCCACATGAAGTTACAGAAGTCGAGGCGATTTCTGAGGAAATGCTATCGATGAATAAAGAATCTGTGCTCAAGTAGATCATGTTGGGGCTTTGTTTCTGTGCTGCATGGTGGTCTGTGTGAGCTTGTTACTGCCTTCGTCAGGATCTTCTGCTACCGCTGGTGAAGATATTTGCTCAGGCTGATGTTGTGGCTACGGTCCCTGTCCTGGTTCCAATGGTAACACAGCTGTTCAGAGGCTGCAGTGTCACTTTGGGAGCAAATAAATGTGTAGATGCTGTGGGTGCTTCAAATATGTTTGCATGCTTCGTTTTCTGCATGGGATGATGGTTTATATCGATATCTCAGGTGCCATGCCCGGCTCGTGGTGCACAGTCAAAGATTGCTTCGATTCTGAAAAAGATGCTACGGTATGTGAAGCGATTGGCTGAGCGTGCTCCAACACAGCGAGTTCAGGAAGTTATGTTGCTTACTGAAGCAACTGAGACCTGCAGATTCAGACCTTGCATGCGCTTGCTTCTAACATGATCGTGCTGGGTTGTTTGCCATTTCGTGGTAGCCTAGGCTTTCAGGACCAGCCACAAAACAACACCCCCTGTGGAACTGGCTGCTGTGCATCCTCAACCTGAGTTTGTACTGCGGTACATGCACAAGAAGGGTGGCTGCAAGAAGGGCAAGAAGAGCAAGCCATCAGGTGAACCAGATGATGTGGATGGTGATGTGGACAAGCCGGTGCCGCTAGCGGATGACACTGATTCTAGCTTGAGGTCGTCTTCCTCAGGTGATTTGTCACCTACGGATGTGCTTGAGATTGCTACTGCAGCCCCCCCACCACAGGATCCAAAGGAGACTTGTTATCAAATCAAACACTATATTAAACTACTGTGTTTCACCCCTGTGACTTTTTCTTATGTATGCAGCATGTCAGGAGCTCGTTGGCCCTGAGGCTTTGCAGAAGCCCAGTGAGCTTCCAGATGTCATGCCTCAGCAGAGGGAGCAGCAGCAGCTGATCGGATTGTTGGATTTGCAGGCTTTGCGGGATGTAGCTACACCCATGAAAAGGATGGGGAAGGCATTTGTGAGCTTGGATGAGTCTGACTCTGAAGATCTTGTCATGCTATCTCCGAAGCCAATGAAACTTTCTGCTGCAGACCGGGTGAAATGTGCCTCTGCATCAACATGGATGTCTTTGTGTGTAGAACAAGTGGAGCATCCCTTGCAAGCCACCTGGCCTCCATGTATACTCAGGTGAGCTCCGACGTCGAATGATGGAGAAGCTCTCGCGCAAGACCATGCGACGGGGTGTATCCTTGGTTGCAGCGGCTGACAATGTGGAGACACAGACCAGTCCTACCGATACATCTGTGCCCCAGTGTCTACCATGTGTTTCTTTTTCTTTTAGAGTCATTAAGAATGGGGTTATACATGTCCACCTCGACAAAACCGAGCAGTGCACTGTCTTCGGTATTTGTATGCTTGCTGAACTAAGCAATCGCCACTGCGAACTTTTATCGATCTGGCTACACCATGCCCTGTGAAGGTGCTTGGTTGCAAGATCCTAGCTTCAGCTTGTGCTGGTTCTGACTTCTGTGTGCAATAGCCAAAACCATGCTTGACAAACTTGCAGGCCTATCTTCCACTGCCCTCATGCACCTCACCCAAAGAGTTGGGAGCTCAAGATCTTATCATGAGCAGAAGGTCGCATGAGGCATAGGTGAGAATATCAGCCTATGAAGGTGGCCACATGATGCCCAGCCACCTTTGGGCTGGAATGGATCCTCTAGCAGCAGTCTGAGCTTGTCCACCGGCACTTTAGAGGCTTCTTGGCTTTTTGTATTGTGCAAAACCTGAGTATAGCTGCTCGCAAGTGATCTCGCCTTTTCGCAGGATTTGACGGCAGCAGATGGGGCCTCTGCCAATCCTGAACCGAGACCCTCTACCAAGTCTCCCAGAGTGCTAATGCGTGGCATCTCTTTGAAGCCTGCTCATGGTGAGCCTCCTTGCATCCAGGACATTGCAGCCCGTCATGCTGACTTGACACGGTCTCTTGCTATTGAAGCTGCTGCGAAGCTACCTGCGCTAGCCAGTGCGTTTGATTTCAAGACTCCGCTGACACGGGCGATGCAAAAGGAGGTGTCAGATGAACACAAAGCCAAATGGTGCAGGAGTGCACAGCATGAGAAGGAAGGCACTGCAAGGGGGAGAGGCAAGGGCAGAGGAAAGGCCAAAGGGAAGGGCAGAGGCAAGGGGAAAGGCAAGGGCAGGGGTCGAGGTGGAACAGGCAGTATTGGGCAGCAGTTTTGCCGAAAGGCATCGGACAGCATCAGGAAGAGAAAGACAATGGAGCCTGAGCCCAGTGCAACTCCGAAGCCGAAGAGCAAACCAAAGGCGAAATCTAAGAAGGCTGCCAAGGCTCGTAAGGCTCCCGGTACCGAGTCTCCAGAGCCAGCCCTGTGTCCTGACGATGGTGCGGCTTCCTGCAACAAAGAACTGGCTGCTTTGGAAGGTGTGCAGGGCCAGGTGTATGATATGAGTAAGAACACCCCCTGGGGTGAAGTCAGCAACGACCTCAAGTTGAAGCTGCGACCGCATATCTATCGAGTGCCTCAGCTCCTGTGCTTAATGATCATGTGTTGTAGATTCAGGTGAGTACATGGACTATTGAGGTGATTTGATGCATAAGGCTTGAACTCACTCCCATCTGCAGGTGGTACATCATGCCGTACTGGAGCAAAGGAAACGTTGGTATCAGGCAAGGTGGCTATACAGGACCACAAGTTCTGCACATCCTCGGGGATCAGTGCATGGCAAAATCTCTCCAAATCGCCAATTCTACAGTGGCATGGCCCGAGATTTAATAGAGCTGTTTAATAACATGATCTGGTCAAAACTGTTGCGCTGTGCATGTTGTGCGACTGTGTCTGTGATCCTCTCACTCTCTGGTCGGCTCAGGTTTCGTTGCTGCAGTCCCGGCCCGATTGGAACACATTGTCATCTGGTTTCCGTGATGCCTACGGCAAACTTAAACAGGACATGGGACACTCTGTGTGCTGCTGAGAATGCTGTGCAAAGTTGCACGCTAGCTTGAGTCAAGAGCCATACCCAAATTAAAAGAAGCAGCGTGCTGATAGAAGTCGTTGTATGTACATCATGGAGTATGAGTTGTGTTACATAAAATGGCACACAGAAACATGCATGGTGGCCGGCTACGATGTTTGATTCTTGATGTAATCACATATTTTTATGAGCCTCGCTCTCGCTGCTGCTTTTGTGTGCATGCATGCCTTACATATAGTAGATGCTGCGTCAGAGCTGTCTGATCCGCCTGATGTGTGGCTTCCCTCCCCTCACACACTCGTTTCGTAGAAACGATGTGTGAGTGATCTTTGTTCAAAGATGACCCAGGCACTTTCGGCCGGTCTCTAGGTGCCCACGAATCGATAAAAGGACTATGCTTCCAAGTGTGCATGCGGTGTCAGCCATCCCCAACTGTGCATCAGTGCTTTGATTTGATTTCCCTGCCTGGCCCAGGCCGTGATGGGATGCTGCAATGCCGCGGTCGTCGATACGACTCTCTGGAGGTGTGACCCAATGCCTTGCCAGCTTTGCTTGAAGACACATGCAGTGTGCTTGCACCCTACTTTGCTGGACTGTGCATGTGATGCTGATGCTTGTGAAATCTAATGAACTGATTAGCTCAAGTAGGCACTGCACCTTCAACCCCATAACTGTTCAACTGTCTTTCCGGACCGCCACCCTATAGAAGAATCTTCCAAGGTCTATCTGGATGTGTGGGCAATCTTTCTGCATGGGCTCAATTCTGAGGTCTTATTGGTAGAACTGACTAGTATATGTTAGCTGACTCTATAGAGGGGCTATTCCCTGTATTCCCAATCTCAACTTATCGTCGGGGGTATGTTGGAAAGAGACTCGGGTCCTTGCATGTGTGTGTGTGTGTGTTTAATATATTGGCTCATGAATGATATAGTTTGCACTTATACACACGTCATAGCACTTTCAACCTGTATGTAGGTATATGTGCCAACCGATGTGTGGATTGCTTTGAAGCTCTGGGCAAGAATTCCAATATGCTCTTGCTGATACCCAGAGGCTCATACCCTACCCCTTTTTTAGGATACCTATAGTTTTATGGTTAGGGTCTGTTAGCTTAAAAAGCCGGTGCCCTCAAAAAGGGGTAGGGTATGAGCCTCTAGGTATATATGGGAGGGCCTGCTTGTGTGGGCTGTACCTTGGGATAAAGACTGCAGCCATGGCCCAACCATGGTCCTTGGAAGCACTTCTTCTCAGGCTGCATGTAGTCAGGGCGCCACGAGTGCCTCGGGTTGATTCTGCACTGTTTCTGGAGAAGGAGATTGTACACAGCCTTCATAGTCTCAGTTGGTAATACTGCATGGGCCGAGGTGTTGTTCCTCCTGGTTTTGTTCATCTTCTGGTCTGGGGACATTAACCTGCAGCGTGAATCGTGGCTTTCGATCAGTGCCTGAGGAACTGCTCTTTTTGGGCTTTCGGTTGCATGGGGTTCTGTCTTGCACCCGAGGACTATCGCTTCGTGGAGTTCTTCGCTGGTGATTCCAATGTCTCGTATGCACTACGGCTGGCGGGATTTCCAGGGCTGTCAATTGATGTCCGTTATTCTGCTAGTTTAGATCTAACGACAGATGCTGGCTATGCTCTGTGTATCGTTGCGCTGCTGCGCATGGCTCCTGGAAGTCTTGCGATATTTGCTCCAGTTTGCAGCAGCTTTTCTGGAATGAGCAGGCACCAATCCAAACGTACAGCAGCCAATCCTCTGGGTGATGATTCGAAAATATGGGTGAAGAACGGGAATTTGATTGCCGTCCGAGTAGTGCTGCTAATGTGGCTTTGCCAGGCGCTGGACATTGCATACATAGTTGAGCAACCCGGGGGGAGTACGATGGGATCTCTGCCACGGTTTCTTGATTTTCAAATGAAATGCTGTCCTCTTTGCAGGGTCTCTGTTTGGATGAGGGCATATGGTCATGTGGCAATGAAGCGAACGCTATTCTGGTCCAATTCCTATGCAATATATGACCTGACCCTCGCAAAGGTGTGTGCCAAGGAGTATCACAGTGCACTCATGTCATAATTTCTGTAGGCTCATACCCTGCCCCTTTTTAGCATACTTAGTTTTATAGGGTCTTTTGTATATATAGGAAAGTAGACACCCTTAAAAGGGTGTGGGGCATGAGCCTACAGGCAGGTGTGTACCTATAGAGGGTCATACCCTACCCCTTTTTTATAGGATACCTATAGTTTATATGCTTATAGGATCTGCTATATAGAAAAATAGATACACCAAAAAAAGGGGTAGGGTATGAGTCTCTATAGGTAAGAAGTTGTCACTACATGAAGGTTTATCCACATGCTTCTGTGCAGGAGCTTCGGCAAGGAGCGGTGTCGTTGGTAACACGAAAGGTTTGTCCCCGGACTGGTAAATCACGATATACTGGCATCCCGAAAGCTCTCCGTACCTCCCAGCTACTTGGACTTAACTCATGTGGTGTGCAATATTGGTTACATGTTATACTCGGTCGAACAGAGTTGTAGGGTCAATGTTGTCATGCCTTTCCCCTGAAGAAAGCAATCCCAATTCTGCTGAGGTCCTATCCAATGGCTCTGGGGCACAAGCTGGCATCGATGCTGCCCGACATGGTGTCCAGAATCAGACCCTCTCTCTGTGCGCAGGTTACCTTGGTGACTGGGAACACAGGGCAACCCTAAACTAAACTAAACTAAACTCCCTAAACCCTATACAAAGTAAAGTGGTGGTGTCTCTTGTGGCCCATGCAGCTCAGCATTTGTATAGGGTCCAAACTGTGGATGGTTACTGGGTTTCATGTTACTGAGGGAGTAGCTTGATTGTTCAAGGCCCGAGCCCAACTTACATTTATATAGCTTTTCTCACTACGTGTGCTGGCAAGGCTCCTCAGGGGACCTATGCAAACCTCACACAAGCTATGAAAGGAATGGGGTATATAGAATGTAAAGGTGTTTATTTCCCACTAACACATAACAACATATACAGAAGCCAGAAAGTTGCAGCATCGTAGAGGGAATCCCAGCACAAATTATACTGAATATATCTACAGGTACCTATAGAGGCTCATACCCTACCCCTTTTCTAGGGTGCCTACTTTTTAAGATAACAAATCCTAACCATAACACATAGATATCCTAAAGAAGGGGTAGGGTATGAGCCTCTATAGGTATTTACCACAAAATCATGTGTATATATATATATATATATATATATATATGTATGACTAAGTTAAGCAAACTGTGTATACATACACAGAGGCTCATACCCCACCCCTGTCTTAAGGGTATTTATCTTTCTGTATCTATGGCAGATCCTAACTAACTATACCTTATAAAACAGGGGGAGGGCATGAGCCTCTTTAGGATCTATAGTGCCATGTCAGCCTGCAGGACATAAATGACATCCAGTCTGTGCAACAGCTGTATGCCCAATCGCCTTCGGATGATTCTTGGTGGGATGGTGATGTTCCACGTGTGGTGCAGTATTTACGAGGGCTACTTGCATGAAGGAAGAAGAAATGCTTTGCTTCACTATATACACATATACTTTCGATCGACTGTTTCATTCTTTTAAGTTTATTGCATTTAGTATGTCGGGTGTTGTCATGCAGTGACCTCTTTAGGGACTTTACTCCTCAGGAACAAGCATCTGGTGATTCCTTGTGCTTGGCGCCACGTGCTGCCGTCGGTGCTGGAGTGAAGACAGGCCGGGGGCTCTCCACTCGGCAGAAGGGCTGCAGCGCATGGCCTGGGCAATTTTTTTGGTTTCTGTTAAGAGGAGGGAGCAGTTGGGTTGCATCCCTATATACAATATAGTTGTCATAGAGAAAAGAATTGGGGATTGCTGGGGTTCGGGTTATGCAATTACATGCTTTTTATAGGGCCTTCTTTCGGGTGCTTTCGTTGGCCCAGGGCCTGTGCCCAGGCCAGCATGGGGTCCCTGTTTAGTTATGCTGATCCTCTGGGGGTGGGGTTTTAGGCAGTGCACCATGGCCAGCATCTGCAAGGTGTGTGCCTGATAGATGATCTACACTGTAGGGAGTCGTGGGAAATTCTGCCTATACAGGAGATTGGCTTCCTTGACTCGGTTGGCCTGCTAATTTGATCAAGAACCCCACAAGATAGCTGCCCTTAAGTGCCCAAAGAACTGAAGGTGTGACCCTTTATCTGGTTGCAAGCCCTCATCCCTGAACACCCCAAAGTATATTGCTGAACCTGGAAACCTTTTCTATACAAGCCTAGGCCAGACATCAAAGGTTCAGAGCCAGGCAACACACAGTCTTGCAACTGCCCATGCAATGTGCACTCATAAGCCCAGAACCCATCAACCCATAAACCTTGTAATGTTTTGCAACAAATGATATCAAGATGCAATTCACTGAAAACCTCACTTGAGCCTTGAGGTCTTCTGGTGTGCCACGGGGATCCTGTCTGTGTATGCTTCTTGGCGTTAAGTACAGACTCAGTCAAGGTTCTGGACATGCTATGTCTCGGATTGCTCTCAAAAGGCCGGACCTAACAGATAAAAAGGACACAGCCAGGTACTGAAGGAGTGCTGGTTCAGTGGGCAGGACTTAATATGAGGGGAGGGCAGAAATATTGTGTTGAGGAAAGATGTTCTTCGATGTGGACTTAGCTGCTAGTCTCGATCAAACCGATACCGGTATGGATGTTTGCAATGGTATCAAGTCTATCTGTGGGGCCTCTTATTAGTTCGGGGGCAGTCGTGATGTGGCATCTTTTGGTTTGTCCCAGGCTTTGCTGATGTGGTGCCAATCAGCAAGATGTTCCCTGGACTGAGCCGTGGACTGGTATATTGTAGTGGCATTCCGGCGCTATATACCTCAGAAGGCATGGGCTTACTACCGGTTCCCTGTTAGGTGCTGTGTGTAAAGCTTGCTCGTGGGGCTTCGAGTCCGATCAACTGATGCTTAAATGCAACCTGTGCATACCTTGTGTTGTCTGCTTGCTTCCTGGTTCAACATCTATATAGGATGCACTGGTAAGTGTAGCCTGGCGACAGCAGGTATGCAGCTCCAGTTTTTGTCCCCTGCATTCTAAAGTTGTCGAAGTTGTATGTAGTAGCAGTCGTTGTTTTGTTGCTGTTTTTTCTTGTAGTTGCTGTAGCAGTTGTTTGTGGTTCTGGTTGTTGTCGGTGGTATTGATGTTCCCTCGTGATTTCTGGTTCCATGTAGCCGACACTAAGCCAACAGCTCCCACTTGTCCGGCCCTGTCTGTTGAAAGTAAATATGGCTTCGAGGTTCTTATGCCCTTTCCCCCTACCAGATCCCTCCTCGTTCTGCCCACCTCGGCCCATGGGTGCAAATTGGTGTTGGTATTGGTATTGGTCTCGGTCTTGATCTGGGTCTGGGTCCTGGTCTTGCCTGGATCTTGCTTGTGTTGCTGCTGTTGCTGTTGCTGCTGATGCTGATGCTGCTGTTGCTGATGCTGTTGCTTTTGCTGCTGTTGTTGTTGTTGCACCCCCCCTGTACCGATCCTTTGCACCCTACCTTGCACAGGCTGTGGAAGGACTCTTAAAGGAATCCAAACATGTCTTAGGCCGGCCTGGGTTCCTATGACCTTATAAACCCTGAATTATAAGCCCTACACCCCTAGACTCTACAGACCCTGAACCGTTTGCATTCCAACTCAATCATATGAGCTTTTGGTGCTCATTCCGGTTCGAGCATAAAGGAACTTTTGGGGATCGGTTGCCTTTGAACAATATAACCTTGTTCAACTACCTGTATGTAACCCTGAATATTCCCAAAACCTTCGGCCAAAAGTCATCCCATTCTCCAATGTTTATCAAAATGCAGGCAGGTGTCGTATATAGATTCTGCCATGAAGGAAGTGGACTTGTGTGCCCTGGGCTCAGCTAGGAATTTGTGGTTTAGGGTTTTGGGGGGGCTTTAGGGTTTGGAGTTGGATTATGGGTCTGTGGGGTTTGGGGTTGTGGAGTGGCATCTATAGAGTTTATTTTTGAGACTGGATGTATCCAGCAGATCTACAACAATAGAACTATACTATTATAGTCCTATTATTACTACTACCATGGTACTGGTACTGCTATATCTACCACTTCTGCTAGGACTACTGCTGCTGCTGCTACTACTACTATTACTCCTACTACTACTACTACTACTACTACTACTACTACTACTACTACTACTACTACTACTACTACTACTACTACTACTACTACTACTACTACTACTACTACTATATACTGCTATGTACTGTATCATACTATATACGATATACCATATAGAAATATAATGTTCTATACTATGTACTATATATACTATATACTGTATATACTATACTCTATAGCTGCTACTACTACTACTACTACTACTACTACTACTACTACTACTACTACTACTACTACTACTACTACTACTACTACTACTACTACTACTACTACTACTACTACTACTATACTCCTACTACTACTACTACTACTACTACTACTACTACTACTACTACTACTACTACTACTACTACTACTACTACTACTACTACTACTACTACTACTACTACTACTACTACTACTACTACCTACTACTACTACTACTACTACTACTTATATACTACCATGACTACTTCTTCTACAGCTACTATACTATATACTATACTACTACCACTACTACTACTACTACTACTACTACTACTACTACTACTACTACTACTACTACTACTACTACTACTACTACTAGTACTACTTCTACACTATTACTTTAAAGTGGTGGCTAGAAACGAGCCAAACCCACATCCACTCAGAAGCTTCTCCTGTTCAGCAACCCGAAGCCCCAAGTCCTGTGGATATAGTGCCCAGAATGAAATTCGATGCTGGTATAGTGGGAGCCACAGAAGCCTGGCCCCCCTCGCGGGTGCAGAAAGCTCCAACCCTGCTGTGCTGCTGGGTGCAGACATTCCTGACATGACCCGACCTGCCCCCAACACAATCTATAGAAGTTTGGTGTTTGGAGCCCACACTGACCACCATAATATGTGGGTAATGTAGCTAGCTTGGGTCAAGCTGTAGCTCTCTCTAACAGCATGGTCCCGTGAAGATTGGCTGGGGTAGTTCTTGCTCAGCCCGAAATCTCCCGTGAAAATCCCGTGAAAATCCCGTGAAAATCCCGTGAACAATCCCGTGTAATGGCTGTAGCTACCTTGTCGCGTGAAGTTTGTTGGGGGTGGGACTTTCTCAGCCCGAGCTGTCGCGTGAAAATCGCGTGAAATGCGCAGGAACTCGCGTGAATACGCGAGATCTCGCGTGAACAATTTTGAGGGTGCCTGATGCCTGCTGGGGCGAGATTTTCACGTGAAAAAAATCACGTGACGAGTCTGGTGTGCTTCTTTCCTGCACTTTGGGAATGCCTTGTGCAGGTTTGAATGACATCGCCTGTGTGCCAGCCAGTAGCAGTCATGCTGGCGTGTTTGTGTGTGTCAATGCTTTGCACATGTGTCCTTTGAAAACGGAACAGACGATGCTGACTGTGTCCAGTGAATACAGCAGCATTTGGCTGCTGAGGGTTCGGCCCCTACATGGACCTTAAGGGTGTGAGCAAAGCCTGGAGCTGCAACACACTGCAAGCCGGTCTGCAGATTCTTGCTGGCCAGCCACAGCCGGGCATGCCTGCCGAGGCTTGGTTCAGTGGATCCCTCCAACCCTATTAGCCATAAAACCCTAGACCTTGTTATAAACCCTAACCCGACAATAAAGCTGTCTCTTGCTCACTCTCACTCTCACTCTCACTCTCACTCTCACTCTCACTCTCACTCTCACTCTCACTCTCACTCCCACACTCACTCACTCTCTCTCTCTCTCTCTCTCTCTCTCTCTCTCTCTCTCTCTCTCTCTCTCTCTCTCTCTCTCTCTCTCTCTCTCTCTCTCTCTCTCTCTCTCTCTCTCTCTCTCTCTCTCTCTCTCTCTCTCTCTCTCTCTCTCTCTCTCTCTGTCGGTGTCAGTGGTGACCTTTGGCTTTATCAGCCTAAGTTCGGTAACTGAGGTCAAGCATGAAGGCTCCTCCGGGGCAGTGCCACCGATTCTGGCAGAGCTGGGGATGGACCCTATGCAGTTCTCGCCAGATACGAGAAAGCTTGTTGCTAGTTTGGCCAACACCCCTTCTTCCCGGGCCCTGGTTCAGTCACTAGCTGGTTCGAAACGTGAGCCTGGAGTGAAGCGCCACTGGACTTGAACTGGTCAGGGAATCTTTCTGCCGAGCAAGATTGTGCTGTATTTTAAATCAGGGGTTCTTCCAAGCTAAGGCATGTAGGGGTAGGGGTAGGGGGTGATGGACTTCTCTCGCTGTGATCTGCAATGCAGTGGATAAAGACTAAGAGGTGGGAACCAATTGTAGGTACAGCTAACAAACTCCAATCTGCTGTCTGGCTTGGCTTCATGGCTGTACTCATAAGAATCATATGTGTATCTATATATATATATATATCTATACATAGATGCATAATTTATATATATATATATATACATATATAGGGCTAATTAAACTAAAACGAATGTATCTGTATTTATACAGCCTATATATATATATATGTATATGTAGGAAGGAATCACTATCAGGACGGTTCGTTATTGTTCACCCTTGATTATATAGCGCCTTGGAACAGTCTGTAGCCATGTGTTCGGGTGGTACTTGTTCTTTCAGAAGTGATTCCTGGGCTGGGGCACATGGCTGGTGTTACTTATTTAAGCAGTCTCCCACCTATAACAACCTGCCCCACCCATGAGGTCATTAGCCTATCTACTTTCAGGTGAGTACACATCGTACACATCGACCGCGATGTTCTGTAGTGTCCTTGCAAAGGGAGCTTTTGAGGGCCTGGGTCATCTGATGTTGCATGCTGTGTATGGTGTCTCCACATTGAACTACTTGACCCTGTATAGAACTCCTGAGCAACAAGTACTCCGGGAGGCTCTTGATTTTTCGCCATGGGATGTTTAGGTTACTTCTAGGTGTATATACACATATATATTGTCTATATGTATTATTAGACCTATGTTTATATTGATATATGTTTCTTTTATGGAAGCACCTGACCAAGATGCCCAAATAAAGATTATGACCTTGTCGGTATAGCTATCTTCACCCCTGAAGCCCTTTCACATGTACCTGTACCCAATGCAGACCGAAAGCCGAGACTTGGCGGTGTGGTAGCTCTTCATCGTCTGTTGAACCCTAAACACTGTCCTGAAATACTGTGAATGCATTGAGCCTGGCAAGGTCTATTTGTTGGATGGTTGGGGGCTTTTGTGCATGTGACAGGGACCCCACATACTATGCAATGTTCCACATGTTACCTAACCGTACAAAAGGTCGGAGCTTGAAGTTCTTTCTGAGGTTTTAGGTGCTGTTATACATAGCTGGCAGCATCGGAGATTTGAGCATGATAGGCTGCCCCGGGGCTGCAACATGGGTTGTTTTTTGGTCGTGCTTACCTATAGGGGCCTCATTTGCCTTTGCAGGCTGCATACCTACCAAAAGCCACGGAGCTAGTTCTATCTTTTGTACCTAGAGGCTCATACCCTACCTCTTGTTTCATACCCTACCCCTTGTTTAGGGTGCCTACTTTTTGAGGTAACAGATCCTAACCACAAAACTATAGGTATCCTGAAAGGTGATAGGGTATGTGCTTCTTGGCAAGACCCGATGTTGTAGCAACCACTGGCTCGAAATAGTCTTCAGAAACCCCCCCGGACAATAACCTTTATGTCTTAGGCCCGGAAAATGGCTTCAGCCCCCTACAATGTCTATAGGTTGAGACCCGGAACATGAAGCAAACCATGCACAAAAGTATTCGATCATGTGATACATATACAATGGATCGAAGGATACAATAATATTCCAAGTCCCCCCTGTGCAGCCGAGGTGAATTGGACGATGATGATGCAGCAGCGCGAGCGGCAGCTTGCAAACGGCAGGCTGTCGATGGAGAGCTTGCTGGCCTGCCAGAGATGCCGAGCCGGGTTTCTCGTAATCTCACTGATGACTTTGATCTAGCCGAGACAGAGAAAGCTGTTCTGCGAGATGCTGATGATGCCATCCGAGATGGTCTATCAAGTGCAGGTGTGCTTGAGCATAATCGCAGGCCTGCTTTTGTTACTGCACCGGCCCTCTTGCCATCGGAGACTGGTCTGAGCAAGCAAGAGTTGCAGCAGCAGAGAGAGATCGAGAAACGACGAATGCAAGAGATCCAGCTAGAAAAAACACGTTTCGAAGAAGAGAGACGTCAGAGGCTGGATCAGCTTGAGCAGGAAAGGCTTGAGCTTCAGAGGCGGGAAACCCGACGCCTCGAAGAAGAGCGACTTCAGAAGGAGCAGCAAGAACGTGAACGGCTTGAACAGGAGCGACTTCAGAAGGAGAGGCTTCAGAAGGAGCAGCAAGAACGTCAACGGCTTGAACAGGAGCGACTTCAGAAGGAGAGGCTTCAGAAGGAGCAGCAAGAACGGGAACAGCTTGAACAGGAGCGACTTCAGAAGGAGAGGCTTGACAAGGAGCATCGTGAACGTGAGCAGCTTCAACAGGAGCGACTTCAGAAGGAGAGGCTTGACAAGGAGCATCGTGAACGTGAGCAGCTTCAACAGGAGCAACTTCAGAAGGGGAGGCTTCACAAGGACGATCGGCTTGGGCAGCAAGCTGAGGTCAACAATTTGCAAAAGGACATCTTTGTGGAAGCCTTTGGGCTGCTAAGTGCTGCTAAGGTGGCCAATGCCATGTGTTGGGCTCAGAAGATCACTACTGATTCCACTGCTTTTCAGGGCGACTCGCCTCCTCATGATTTCGAGTCCTTCAAGTCTGCTTGCAAGACTGCAATGAAACAGCATGTGCAAGCTTTCCTGTCCACAACAGACACTCAGCTTGATGATGTGGGCACTCCCATGGAAGCCAAAGCACGCCACGAGGAATCCAAGCAAGTCCAGGAAGGGGAGGCTTTGAGGGAGAGCCAGGAGCATGCAAAGGCGTTGGGGACAATGCAGCAGATGCAGCTGGAGGAGGATCGTGACATGAAGGAGATGGAGCTTCTCAAAGCTCGGATTGCAGAAAGGAAGAAACAACAAAGTGAGCAAGCCAAACTTCTCTTGCGCGCCAAATCATCGGGCAGCCTCGGGTCTGAGACAGCGGTGGCTTCCCCCTCGACCACAGCAGCTTCCTCGCCTTCCCAAGTCCTTGCACAGTCGAAGTTGGCTTTGCTTCATGAGTCAGCCAATGCCAGAGACCTCCCGGGCAAGCCTGTTGTGCCTATGGTGGGGCAGCCCGCCGGTGGAGATGAGGAGAAGGATCACTGCAGTTGTTAGTTTATGTGGAACATGTGTGAGAAAGTGGGCTTCTGTTGAGAGAGACATATATACATATAGAGAGAGTGAGAGGGAGTGAAGGAGAAAGAAGGAGTGAGAATTAAACCCGAAACTACAAACCCTACAAACCTATAATCCCGATTCATAAACCCCGAAACCTTACATTCTAAACCCTATATAAACATAAACCTTTTTAAGCCGTCACCGATTACAAACCCTAAGACCTTATATAACCCCTAAAGTATCTTTCTCTCTCTCTCTCTCTCTCTCTCTCTCTCTCTCTCTGTGGCCATCTCTTTCTCTCTATCTCTGGCTCTCCCTCTCTCTCGTCTCTCCCTCCCTTTCCCTCACTCACTCACTCACTCACTCCCTCATGCACACACCCATCCACCCACCTACCTTGCTGACTGCCTCATTCGCTCCTTTGGTGTTTGCTGGCCATGTGCATGTTGCAGGAGCTCAGCCCACAGCAGCTGAAGAACCTCTGTGAAAGTGTCCAAAACCTGGCCAAGATCAAAATCAACTCCGCTACGCACAAATTGGAGTACAACTACCTGTACCGCTTGACAATGCCAAACTCCAAAGGAGAAGCGAAGTGTGACCAGGAGATCTATGATAGGTGGCACAAAGGTTACCCATCTATATATGATGACATGTGTCATGTTGGCTACCTGTCGTTAGATCACTGTCATCGGCTCTGTGTGAACCATGTTGTACTGCACTGGATTGCTTCTGGGCTTAGCTCAGGTGGTGCTGACAAGCAAGAGCTGCTGCGTGACTTTGTGACGAAGTGCTACAAGCCCCAGGACTACGAAGGGAACAAGGCCATTCTACACTCTCCCTTTCTCTCTCTGTCTCTCTTTCTCTCTCCCTCTGTCTCTCTGGCTTGCTCACTCGCTCGCTCACTTGGTGTTATGGGGATGAGTACCTTGTGCTAGGTGTGCTATATACATACACACAGTCACTCACTGATTCACCCATGACTTGCACTTCCTTTTATTGTCTTCTGCTTCATTGCTCTCACAGCCGTGTGCGCCTTATGGTACCACCTTTCCTGCCCTGAGTCACCCGTCATAACTTTCTCACATATGCAGCAGTGCTTCAGTAACCTTTTTGGCACCTCGGCTAGGCCTGCTCACTCCCCCTCCTCCCTCGTTCCCATGCACTCATGCAGTCACCCACTCAGTCAATCGGTCATGCTCATACATGCGCTCACTCAATCACCCATTTGTGTTACTGCTCATAGTCTGTGTACCTTAACCCTTTAAAACCTGCAACTGCAAACCCTAAAATCATTTGGATTCGATTTATGAAGCCCTAAACCACATGAGCAAGACTTGAAACCTAAAGCCTTGCAACCCTATATAGGACCCTAATCCAACAAAAAAACCAATGTGCACCACAAGCCCTATCTTGGCACTTGAAGCTTGCACCGGGGTGTTATGTGGATTGCAGCTTCCAAGGGGCGGCTCGAGACCCTGGTCAAGTTCAAGCGCGAGAAGGAGAAGAGCCAGAAGAGCAACCTCATCAGAGGTTGGCTCACAGAAAAGGAGATGATAAAGCTGGGCTGGGATGAGAGTCCTGGTTTACATTGGGAAGGCAGGTTTTTATTAACATATGTATATATATAGGAAAGCGGAATATATGTATGATTCAGTTTGCTTTGTGCCGGTCGTAGTAACAATCTTAGTCTGGTATCTTCTTCATGATAATTTTCCATGCTGATCAGGACGAAGGTGAAGGGGGCCATGGCATATTGCCAGAAGATGCGGTTGACCAAGCACCTCTGATTTGATATGACCTTAATCCTGTGATTGCCTGTGCACAATGCATAGCCTATCATAGGAAACCTGAGCTGGTTCTTTGATCCAATCCCTCATGTGCAATCATAGGAATCCTGACCTGGTTCTTTGATCCAATCCCTCATGTGCAATAATGATTTGAGATGGGGTTCTGGCTAATCGGATCAGGCGGTGCAAATACTCAGCCGAACTGAAGTTCTTGGTCGAGTTAGAGGACCGCGTAGATGACGAAGTGCTGCTTCGATTAAAGCTCGAAGAAGAACTGGCAGCCATATCCGGCAATGGGTTCGAAGACGGCTTCGCCTTCTCGCTTCACGAGCCGAATGCCACCGAGATGCCGCCGGAGGATGAGGCTGCATCCAAGCTTAAGCTCCCGGAGTTCCCTGAGATCACCCAGGATGTGGCTACGTTGGGAGCCCGTGTGAAAAAGTTCAAGGATGCTGCTCTCAAGCGTCGGGGTGTCTACACAAGTGTGGAGGATCGCTTGAAGGAGGATGAGAGCAAGGGCCATGAGATGCTTGGCTGCAGGGACTCATGCTGCAAAGCTATTTCGGCAGATGCATGTGCTATGCTGCCACTGTGTGTTTAGGAGATCATGGGATGTGTGTCTCGGGTGGGTGTGTGTGTGTGTGTGTGTGTCTCTGTGTGTGTGTGTGTGCTGAGCTTTGTTTTCCATCCATGCAGCCTTATGGCAGCCTCAGACCCTCCCAAGCTTCCTGAAAATACCCTCTGAAGGTTGTCTGCTGCTTCTCTCGTCATATGTCTTGTTAATATTTTAGCTTCGGTTTCAGGTCTCGGGGGGAGGGTTTCGTGCTGTTATAGGGTCCAATAGTTGTAGTATCCTTAAGGGAGGGGGGTCCAAGGGGGGTATATAGCCTAGTGATCCCTAATTCTCCCTAGTACTCCCTAAGGTTCCCGTACAGTCCCCTAAGGATTCCTTATACCCTCCCCCCTTGAACCACCCTCCCTTAAGGATCCTATAAAATAGCTAGCTGTATAATCGGGTCTGCCAGATAACATAAGTGACCTAGAGGGTACTCTTAAGGAATGGCTTAATTGATGAGGGTTGGGCAGATACAGGTGCAGCCTGTGTCGCAAGCTAATATACCCATTTTTTACAAAGAACAAGATAATCCAGACTCCCCAAGCTGTTCTGACCTGCTTGAAATTAAACACCCTATATGTACCCCCTGAAAGTCCCAACTTTGCTGCTCAGGACAGACCTTGGCGTCCTCAAGACAAGCCTAGGCCGCTTGGGTGCTGGTCGGTGCCTACTCATGCTTTCCTTTGTTTCTGACTGGCTGCCAGATCAAATCATGACATCGTACAACAAGATCTGTGCCACGGAGACGAGCGCTGAGAAGAAAAAGCACCTAGGCAGCAATGCATGCCAAGTGGGTCCTTTGAGTGGGCCTCGCTATAAGGCCCGACAGCTACAAGATCCTTTGCGAGACCATGGAGGGGGCGTGCACTCCTCGGGTGTTCAACCGAATGCATGTTGGGGACTTTCGTGGCTCTTAGGTGCCTCAGTTTTGACAACCAGGCAGCGATTCTGAAGCTCCTCGGACAGCATATGAACCCAGTTCTCAATGACACCCACTTTCACTCACTCACTTCACTTGCTTCACTCTCCTCACTCACTCGTTTTCTCACTCACTCACTGACCTGCTCACTCACTGACACTCTCACTCTCACTCTCACTCTCAGTCTCGCCCTCACTCTCACTCTCACTCTCACTCTCACTCTCACTCTCACTCTCGCTCTCACTCCCTCTCTCTCTGTCTCTCTCTCTCTCTCTCTCTCTCTCTCTCTCTCTCCCCTTGTCTTCGGGTAGGTTTTGCAACATCTGAGGACGTTCTTCAAGAAGCGCACGGCTGCCAAGAAGAAAGCTACTGCTAAGCCTGAGGAAGCATCTTGAGTCCAGACTCGCGCGGAGTCTGCAGTAGCCGGTGGATGCTGAGTCGACTTAGACCCTGCTGATGTGCTTGTGTGAGGGGCCACCAGTGGCATGCTCTGTGATCAGCAACCCTATCCCTCTATAATCTGTTATACATGAAGTTTGGGCTTTTGCAGACGCTTGGAGTCAACATATTGCTCTCAATACAGTGTGCTATGTTCGTCTGATCTGATGAGCAGGGTTCACACCAGCCCAGTGGGCTGTCGGCTTCTCTGATGCTGGCTCTAATACTTTTGAAGAAAGCTTTGGGGCCTCAAATCATGATGAAGCTTCGCAGATATCTCTGCGGCTGTGATGCAAAACGAACTAGTTGCACCTGCAACATGTCCAAATGATGTTGTGCAGATTTCTGATTTCACTTGATATAGGAAGCTTGTGCACCTCGACCCTCGAGCAGTCTGAATCATGCCAGGTGGCCGTGACCTTGTCGATGAAGTTGTCCAGCTCTATTGTGCCCCTTGAATGCATCATGCAGGACTCTGCTCTATGGTTTTTTCGTCTGACCGCCCTCTGTTCATATAGAAGTGCTATCCCAGGTTGGCAATGCTACCAAGGCGGTTGGCCTAGCCAAAACAGGTGTCAAACGTGGGGCTACTGCTGCTGGCCTAGATCGACAACAAGAAACCTGGGAATTGAAACGTTTAGCACGTGCTGCTGATTCCAGCAAAGGGAACCACCTGGAAAGTTTAACTCGGAATCTGCTGCGTGCTGGCTATGGAGTCCAGATACCCATCGACAAGATTGCCGTCCCCTACTTTGACCGAGGTCTCTGTCAGCATCCGGTGTTCTCACTGGAAAAGTTTATTGTATATATGATCAAGACAGGCCATTCCAAGTATTTTCTGGGTGGCTATGATGTGAATACTGAAGAATCCAGAACGGTTCTGTCTCAGTACTGGCTGCGTTATCAAAAACATGATCCAGGCCATGTGGTATTTGGAAACCGACCCCTGTCGGATACGGTGCCACTCGTATGCTATGGGGATGAGGGCACGGGGAAGCGCAAGCATCCTGTTTATGTTCTGTCCACCAAAGTGCTACTGAACTGCAGACAAAACAGCATGTTCCGCTACCTCCTCTACACAGTCGTTCCACACGAGTGCTACAGAGGATTCCAGAAAGGCTGGGCCGAGAAGAATGAATGCTTGGATGCTGTTCTGGAGCACTATGTGCTGGAGGCTACCCGACTTTTCGAACAAGGCTGGCTTTGGCTTGCATCTATATGCCTTCACCCTTGCCCCTGTGGAAATGTCAAGCCTTAAACAGCCTAACATGTTGCATGGGATGCAGTTAGATGTTCTGTAGTTCTTATTTCGAGTTTGTATAGGTCTCAGGGTTTAGAGGGCTTATATAGGGTTGACCGACCTTACTCTAGGCATGATGCCTCCTGTCAGGAGTGACGGTGGACAAAGGGCGCACTCTCTACTTTGCGTTTGTAGGCACTGTTGGTGACTTGCCTTTCCAGGCCAAGGTCTGGAAGCAATCACGTAACTTTCAGAGTAAACTTTGCTGCCCTTTCTGTATGGCAACGAATGAAGATTTGGGAGATGTCGGGGATGATCCTGCCTGGGTCATGGATGAGGTGCCTCCTCCATGGTCCCTCACGTCAAGTATGTGTCAGATTCCTGGCATGGCAGGTGTAGACAAGGCCCGACATGACATATTCCATTTGGGCCACCTGGGTGTGGCTCGCCACTTCTACTGTTCTGTGTTGGTACTATTGTGCCAGCGCTTCGGGCATTTTCCTGCAGATGATGGAAAATGGTCATTAGATCTGCAACTTGCCAAAGCTTATGGGGATTTCCGGGCTTTTTGCCGACTGATCGGGGCAACGCCTTTGGTCAAAGAATTCACCAAAGCAAATTTTCATGCAAAGGAAACAGGTTATCCGGACTCCTCATTCAAAGCGAGTGATTCCATACTCATCATGAAGTTCCTGGAGTATTATCTCAATTTGCCATGGGCTTTTGATGAAGATGGTGTTCTGCTCACCATGCTGCAGGCGGCTGGATGGTACAATGATTTCTACAGGACTTGCTGGACTGCCAAGGATAGGCGTTGGCTCACGTGTTCTGAAGCTGCAATTGCTGTCAGAAGCTTGGACTCGTTTGTTCGAGCATATGTCCTCCTGGCTCAATGGTCATATCAAGAACGGCTGTGTCATTTTGTTCTTGTGCCAAAGCTGCATTTTCTGAAGCACCTGGTATTGCAAATGCGTGGCAGTCTTGAAAACCCTGAAATCGTGCATCATGTCAATCCAGCAGTCTGGGCAACACCTGATGGTGAGGACTTCATCGGGATAATGAGTCGGCCCATGAGAACTTTACATTCCAGCAGTTCCTGCCTGAGGAGGCTTCAAATGTACAAAGTAGAGTTGAAGAAGGCATGGGCTGGCAGCAGTGGCAAGTAGGTGATAGCAGCATCCATGAGCATCAAACCACAGTTATGTGTTGGTTTAGCTTGAATCGTTCAAACTTACTTGAGCTACATATTTGTATGTGTACATAGATTTGTCCGAGCTGCCACCACCACCAATCGCAAGCAGTCCGAGCAGAGTGCCATGCCACAAAGCTGGAGGTCGATCGGATTGGCGGGGCTCTGCTGCATTTATTTATGGGGTTTACATTGGGTTATGGGGTTTAGCAACATTGGGCCAACTTCAGAGGGTCTACAGGGTCTATCCGAGCTTTGGGACAGCTTGTCATGGTTGACTTTGAGTTTCATTGGGTTACAGTGTTTCAAGCTACTTGCTGAGGAGAAGTTCAGGAGCCCAAAAATCACGTGTCAAAGAATTCTTGGTTATGGCCTCGAAACCAAAAAAAGGTACAAGGTATAAGCCTACAGGTAGAGTCTAGAGTTCAGTGCTTAATTAGGGTGTGTATACAGTGCGCGCGCGCGCGGTGGGTGCGCTTCTTGAGGCATGGGCGCGCACCCACTTATCGCGGGCTTGCGTCAGCATGTCGTCCCGCTAGGGGTTAGGGTTCACACATGGGCGCTGCAGGCCATGGGGGCGTGGAGTCGAAAAAGACAAGAGTACTCTTGGAGGACCATGGGACTTAGTAACTATAGGGTTATAAGTAAGGTAACTATACTTGTAACCCCAAAAGGTACACTTACTAAGTCCCACGATCCTTCAAGTAGGGTTCCTTCAAGGGTTCTGTAATGGCAAACTGCTAGGCCCCTCATCCTTCAAGTAAGGAGAACGAGAATTCCACATCCGGGATCCGTCTTCGCGGGATCGGGCATGCGAAACCACATCTTCAGCTCTGACTGGCAAAAGCCGGTGTGCTCCTTCGCCAAACCGGACTTTCTGGCGGCATGCCGCCGTGAAGGCGCGCTCTAGCAACAATGCGATCTTTCGCAAGGCCGGCATGGAGGTAAAGCCTCTCGACCCGGATCCAGGTGCCAACCTCCCGAAGTCACGTCGTCCTGAGTGCACCAGCAGCGGATAAATCCTGCTAAGAGGCGGCTGAATACAGACATGACACCTTCTCTCAGTGCGGCTTGAGATCATAACGGAGATCAGGGATTCGGGCTTATGTTTGACCTAAAGGTGCAGGCGCAGTGGCCCGGAATCAGACATGCTCTACGTATGAGAAGCTGCTTTCATAAGGGCTATACAGGGTCTTCATGGGATGTATACCTACAGTGTAGGTTGCTGGGTTTGGGAACTAATGATGATAGGGGTTCTTCATGGAGAAAAGATCAGTAACGCACTATATTGGCAAGTTAGCTCCCGAGAGTTCTAGACTTGCTACCCCGATAAGCCACCAAATTGAAAGGTTAGACTTTCCAATTCCTACTAAACTACGAGAGCCCAAAAAGTTTAAAGGTTGGGTATATTGGGGATCTAAGTAGGCGCGTAACTCCACGATTTACGCGCTTCAGGGGTTTAGGGCTCAGGATGCAGCGCTTGGGGCTGAGGAACGAGAAGGTACGTCCCCTATCACCGCAAGATGGTTCTGCATGTGCTGAATGCAATACCGTGAACAGGGCATGAACAGTGAATCGATTTCCAGCACCCAAACTCTAAACCCTAAACCCTCAACCCTGAACCTTAAATCCTAAACCCTAAGTCATAAATCCTAAACCCTAAACCCCAAACCCTACAGGGTTTAGGGCCCAGAACTGAACCTCCAACTAACACCACTTAACATCCGTGCTTCTAGACTTGACTAAACTCAGCTCACCTACAGAATCAGTAAGCCCAAAGAAGCCCATGCATATGGGAGACCTCTCACCGTTGCTGCCAGCACCACACCGAACATCCTCAACATTCGACCCGCAACCATGAATTCCAAGGAGCAAATTGGTTTTGGAGTATGTCGTCGTTAAGGAAGCCTGAGGAATACCATGAAAATCGTTCATGCTTCTATAAACCCTGTAGAGAAACCCTTTAAAGGAACCCTGTAGAGAAATCTTTTCAATCAACTCAAAAAACCACACAAAGGAACCCTTGAAAGGACATCCGGGTAAAGGAACCCTTTGTAGAACAACTAGAGCGGAATGCTGCCTTGGGCCAAGAGATCGTGGAAGCTGATTTGCGGCACCGCGGCAAACTGCGTGCACGAACTACTTCGGCTTAGGGTTTAGGGTTTAGGGGTAGGTTCGCCTAAACCGAGTAAATTGCCAGAACCTACTTTTTTGCAGGGTTTCTGTAGATTCCAGATTACAAGTAGGATGGTACACCCTTTAAGAACCATCGTTTTGAGGATTCCTTTGTCTGAATTCCTTATAGGAAAGTCCTCAAGAAAGGTAGGTTATTTGGATTTATTTTGGGTTCTGGGTATGCTAAACCCTGAACCTTAAACTCTAAACATAAACCCTAAACCCTTACAACCCTAAACCCTTCAATCCTAGACCCAAGCCCCAAACCCCAAGATGCAGAACATACATCAACATCTCCTGTTCCCTTCCTCGGGGATGCTGTTGAACCTTGAACCCTCCCTAAACCCTAGACCCTAAACCCCAAACCGGCCTAAAAGCTTAAACCCGGAACCGCAACATCTGATTACCCTGAAACTGATAAACCAAAAATGAAACCCTAAGGCCACAACCTTGAACCATGAACCAGAGAACCCAATGCAGCTTAATTAAGGAACATAGCTTAATCATAATAGGTACCCCCTTATAGTTGAAGGTATACTTCTTAATTAAGGGGTATTGGGTTCTCTGGGGGACTTGCAAAGCCCGAAACGCCAAACCCTAAACCATAAGGAGCCCACACAAAAACACGGCGATCGTACAATAAGGGTTTTTTGAAATTCCCCTCTTATAGGGTAAAGCTTCGTGTTCGGAGGAACCCACCTCTTCCCTGGCAGTCGCGTCGCAGACTACGAATGCGGGACGGAGCCTTGTCTGCCGGGCTTGAAAGCTTAGGGTTGTAGGGTTGAGGGCTTAGGGTTGTTGGGTTCAGGGCTTAGGGTTGTAGGATTCAGGGCTTAGGGTTGTAGGGTTCTGGGTTTAGGGCTTAAGGGGCTTCTGATGACAACATATATGGGAGCTACGACGGGAACTATTTGGGAAGTATTCCGGCCCCTAGGGTTGAGCTTTGGGGTATGGTGGCTCAGGGCGTAAGGGCGAGAGCTGAGGGAGTTCCAGGGTTTGGGGGTGTGCAGGGCAAGGCTTAGGGTTTAGGGTTTAGGGTTTAGGGTTTAGTATGGTTCCTGTGATTGCTGGGAGTTGGAAATGTTTGAACGGTCGGAGCGCCGTCGTTCGGATGATGTAAGGGCTCCAACGGGGCTTTTAACCAGCTTCAGCTGGGGCTTCTACAGGTATCAAGCAGTTACAGCAGTGGCTTCCCAGACCCGGGGAGGATCCAAAAAGCAGATCCCTTAATGAGGGGATCCCTTAATGAGGGCTCCTATAAAGTACCCTGAGAAAGTATATAGGGCCCCAAATTAGGGGATCTACTTTCTAGATCCTCCCGGCCCTAAACCCTAAACCCCTAAAACCCGATAGCTCCCCTTAAAGGAACCCTATAGATCCCTTTAAAGGAACCCTATATCTACTTTCTAGGTCCTCCCAAAGGTCTGGCTTTAAGCCCCTGGAGAGTCGAAGAAACGTTTTTAGGGTTTCGAGCTTCCTCGAAGGACTGTGGGACTTACAGTAGAAGCCAAAAAGTTGGAACATCAGTAGCCTCATGCCCTTAAAGTGGGGATGCGTGAAAATTCCGTATCCATCTGCTTGTCCCTCAACAGTCTTATCGTTTTTTCTACTCTTATCGTTTTACAGTACTTTGGATGACTTCCAAACTGTTGGATGTGTCACATATTCGTTATCGTTTCATTTTACTCTTATCGTTTTACAAGGAAATCGATTGCCCTCGCCTTGGGGGCGCGTCTACTTTAAAAGCTGCTCTCCGTGTTTTTATCATCCCTCAAGTAAAGTAAAGGGAAACCCAGCATGAATCATCCTAAATCCATGTTCCAACTTTCTGGGGTTCACTTTAGTAGCTATGAAGGGTAAAAATAAGGTAACGATGCCTGAAATTGCCTGTAACCCCAAGTAAGGTACGTCTAACCTTGCTTATATACTAAGTCCCATGATCCTGCAGGTGAGATTGAATGCTCCGGGTTTTGAGCTTCAAGTTTCAATTGCATTCCGCCAGGACTACTTTAAGCCCTAAACTCTAAACCTTCTAAACCCTAAACCCTAAACCAGGTGCGGGCAAGCCACTCGCTTAAAATCTGCTTGTTGCGGTTAGCCTGCGACGCCTTTGGGCAAGCTCCGTGCTCTGGGGGCATGGGGTTGTAGGGGCTTTAGTAGTTAGATATCCTCTCAGCATCCTTTGAGCCTAAACCATAAACCTCCAGCCCCACCGCATAAATATCATGTATACAAACACATACATACACACATACATACATGCATACTGACAGACAGACAGATACACAAACAGACAGACATATAACTTGGCATATAATGCAAGGATAAGCGCGATACCGGGATCAGATCTAAGCTTTAGGCAACGGAGTTTCAGGATACCCAGAAACTAGTTATAGCTGCACTCATGCCTCGCATGTAGGTCACCCAAGTGTAGATATCCAGGCGTTAGACGGGCCTTAAGCTACAACTACAAAACGTCCGGAATCTCTTGAGGAAAGCTTCTTGGTCTCTTTGGGGGTGACGTAAATGTTAGCCTTGGAGTGGTTTAGGGATTGGGGGTGTGTGGATTAGGGTTGCGGGCTCCCGAGCTATGAAGACGTTTATGGCAATGTCTTATAGCTTGCCTTGCGTTTTCCTGCTACTGCCCTCACAAAACTGCCCCCAAAAGTAAGGCATCCCGACAATCTACTTAGTTGCTGAGTTCAGAAGCCCCAACAAATGTATACTTTTAGCTTTATAGTGGGTAGTATTATCCCAAAAAGTGTACAGTGTATCCACTCAGCTACTAAGTCTATAACTAGG